CATGTGTGTGTGTGAAGTGTGATACTGAGTGTTGCGTGTGGGACATCCAGGGTGATCCAGAGTGCGAACAGTGAGTTGTGTGGGCGCTCAGTCGCCATAGCCAGTTTGAAGAGAACTCTTATGTGGATACGATATCTTGAGTACTGAGTGGGCGCCTGTCGCCAATTTGCTGTTTCGCTGTTTGCATACATGACAAGTTGAATAATCGTAGTATGATTTCAATCCGGGGGAAGAAGATAGTATACCTCCAAATGGTATACAACCAACAACGATCAGAAAAAAAGTGGTCGTCAAACGAGAGGGGTCTAGGGGGACCACTAAATGAGAGGGCCGGATGGTGGCCCTACATCAACCGATATTAGGGTGGAGCCTCTATGTTGCAATTAGAACAACAACAGGACGCACAATGAACAACAACTGGAACAATTGATAATAGCTGTGCTTAAAAAAAAAAAAAAAAAAAAAAAAAGAGCTGTGCTCGCCTGCTAGGTGGATATACCCAGGTTACTCAGACCATGTCATGGATTAGACTATTTTTTTTTGGGAAAATTTTCCATATGCCTATTTGCAGCATGCCCCTTTAACGGCCGACTTACCCTGCAGCGCCCCTCTGACAGCGAATGAAGTTTCTGACCCCGGTAGCTCCCCTCCCAGAACCAGGGGAACGATCACATGTGCCACCAACGGCCACAGGGGCATGCTAAAAAGTTGCTACCCTCACAGAGAGGGGCCTCACGGCAGGGTAAATCGGCCGTCGGAGGGGCACGGTGCAAATTTATTGAACTTTCAGGGGCATATCAAAAATTTTCCCTTTTTTTTTTTTTTTTTTTTTTTTGAGACCTTCGCTTGGGGGTACCACTAGACACTACCTGTGATTCATATACTGAGGAGCCCAGGAAAGCTCGGGGGACAGTATTGGTCTACCTATGGGACTTGTAGAGAGAATCTATGGAATATATGTAGGATTGGTTCACCTATGGGACTTGAAGAATACTTGTAGAATTGAGAGCCTACCCCCCCTATGCTTCTGCTTTAACCAGAGCTGAGCACGGGCCCCTGCTCAGCCCTGGTGCCTACAACAGCTCTGGCCAGTCAGGTGGCCCAAAGCACCCGTACGACAGGGCTCGCCCGACTATGCTTCTTTTTCTTTTTCTTTTTTTTTTCCTTTTTTTTTTTCCTTTTTTTTTTGCTTTTTTTTGCTTTTTTTTTGCTTTTTTTTTGCTTTTTTTTTTGCTTTTTTTTTTGCTTTTTTTTTCGCTTTTTTTTTGCTTTTTTTTTCTTTTCCGCCCGACTATGCTTCAATCAGGGGTGAGCAAAGGTTCCTGTTCAGCCCTGGAGCCACCGGTGCCCTGTCAGGTCACTCCCCCTGAGATGGCGGAAGGGTAATAGGACTGATTGGTAGACACGGAGGTAGGACTGAGGGAGTATGGGTGCGCCATGGAGAGACGACAAGAGAGAGAAGGTTGGGAGTCTTATCAGGAGTGAGATTCCGGGTGAAAGAAAAGAAAAAAAAAAAAAAGAAAAAAAAAACCTTGCTTTTCTAGTACTTGTTAAAACGCGTTGTAATCAATTTCGTAATTGGAGCCTTGGGCACTGGGCTCGTTTTTCAAAAAAAAAAAAAAAAAAAAAAAAACCG